AATCAGGGAAGAACGCTGATTGTCAGGGTGTGGGTGTTGATCTTTATTCATTCTATATCCTGCCACACCCACACCCTGACAATCAGCGTTCTTCCCTGATTATTATTCGCCAGTTTATTTTGCATTTTCTCACAACTCATTTTTTCATGCCTGAGTCCCGCTTAGGGATCGACAAAACGTTTTTGTCGCCGTTCAATTAGAAGTTCATGCAATCTGATAGAGCTGAGTATCCTGATTGCAAATATAAGGTTTTTTAAAATTAGTCACATAATAAGAAAGATCATCTGAAGCACTTTCAGAAACCCCTAAAATACAGTTTTTCATGTGAAGGTTCATGAAAATTCAATTCAGATTTGTTAAAAATAGATTCATTCGATTCAAGATTTTTTTGCTCTATTATAATCTATCAGAACGCTTTAGATATTGAAAAGCTTTTCAACTGATAAATGGCCGATACCAGCGCGGTTAGATCATATTGTTATAAATATGATTGTTCAGTTTTGTGAAGATATAGTTAATACATCTGCATCAGTAAGGTTTTTTCAATAGAATACGTAATCCAATTTGCTCTTTCTAATGAAACTATTGTCAACTGGAATTTCGACGTCTAGTGAAGGACTTTTCCTGTAATACCACTTTTGGGACCCAATTTCTGTCATTTTTCATTACTTAGGGCAGCCCAAAAGTAGTGAGAGTGACAGTTTAATACCGTATTATAAGCTTTCAGAAACTTTCTCTCTTTAATCTGATAGAGAAAAATTGTTCTATTTTTTCTATGGTATTGGTTCATGCTTCAACTAATATCATAATAAAATTTCAATAAGGCCTGTTTTTTTCTATCATATGTGATGGTTATACTTTGTGTTTTGGGATAAATTTTGATAGAAACAAGAGAGAGAGAGAGAGAGAGAGAGCTGCAGTTTCCACTATTGGAAAGCGGAGATGAAGATGCATCGGATTGCATATGATATATTTCCTAAGACGTTATCTGAAATTTCTTCGATCAATATTTTAAGGATCGAAAAAAAAGCTTTTTATTTCTTCACAGTAATTATTAGAAAAATCACTTAGAACTTCGACTAGAACATCTATAACTCCGGAATGATTAATTCAAAATATCTGAACCTTCTGCAGTTGTGTAGGTCTTCCATCGACGGTGTGAATGCACATCTGACAATTGAGAATTCGCTTTAAACAAGTTATGGAATAGATTTGTTTTCAAAGAGGTCACTTGAAAATCTTTAAAAAGCTATATCAACAAACCTATAATATAAGATTTGATGCATCTTCATTTTTTCTTTCGAACGGTGAAAACCGCAGCTCTCCCTCTCTCTCTTGTTTCTATCAATAATTATTCAAAGAATATCCACTGAATAGGCATTAGTATAACTGTTGCATATGATAGAAAAACAGATCTTATCGAAATTTTACTATTATTACATTTATTGAAGTATGATCCCATATGGTACAAAAATAAAGCATTCTTTTCTCTATCAGACTATATAGAGAGAAAGTTTCTTAAAGCTTATTATACGGTATTAGGGTGCCACTCTCACCACGTGTAGACTGTCCTAAGTAGTATTCTGCGGTTTTCGAAAGGAATAATCGACATTTGACATCAAACAAACAATATATTTGAAATCAACATAAGAACATGAATCGACCTATGTGTGTTTGAAATTGTTTCTGCGACTTTCTTTTTTCGGTTATTTTTTTTCGATCCGTGAGAGGGATCTAGGCATGAAAAAGTGAGTTGTGAGAAAATGTAAAATAAACTTGTGAATAGTAATCAGGGATGAATGCTGATTATCAGGATAATAAAATTAGATTCAGAGTCTTTTGGACGTAAAGATCGGAATTTGGCACTTATTTGCCTAAAATAGTGATTTAGGTGATATCGCTGAAATATCTACGACACAATCGTTTGAGCTAAAAATTATAGTGTATGTACAACTCAACAGTATGTAAAATCAAAAAAGAATTTCAGCTTGATTGATCAAGGTGTTCTCGGGATATTGAGTCCACAATATGCTCACTTTCTGAGAGGTCTGCTTTTTTAGGCCTCTTAGAAAAAAAAATTCATTAAAAATCGACGGTTCATATATTTTTCATAAGTTTTCGCCAATATTGGTAAAAATATTTCCTCTATAGAAATATATGGACTTCAGCAAGATCTGATTATCTAAGGTGAGCAGGGACAATTTTAATCAAAATTGAAAAATCCATATTTTAGTATTTTATTGTAAATTCGTACTTCAAATGGGCATCTATTGACAGTTTTTTTATGAAAAAGAAATTCTCAAGTATTCTCTATAAGTGGAGAAAAAATCAGCCCGATTCATTGAACCAATGTGGAGATATTGCAGGTTTTTATCATAAATTTATCTACGGCACGTCATGTATATTGCTTTTTATAATTTGTGGAAAGTTATAAGGTTTTTATGGTATTTTCTAGTATTTCTTAAGGTTTTTCTTATGAATATGAGCTATGAACAGTGCTTTATCAATGATGATAGAATCAGTCGATTCGACCAAGATATGGAAGAGATATTCCAATTATTGATTGCTCAATGAATTATTGAACATCTTGTATGATGATTGTGTTTTCTCTTTGAATTATTTCTGCAAGAAAATCTTCAAGAAAAAGATGATAAAAATATAACAAAAAAATATATTTTCGTCTTTGTTTTTGTACTTACATGTGGACAAAGGAAATTTTTCATTCTGCTTTTCTACTTCTTTGTTCGCATTATGAAAGAAATTCAATTGTTTGACACCTTGAAAACAATTCAGTTTATCTCCAACTAACATTTGGATTTCAGCAACTAACTGTTCCATTCTTAAATCCATATTTGTATCAATATCACAAAAATTAATCCATTTATGTCCTGCTATAGTAAAACCTAACCAACCTGTTGGCTTCCAGTCTGGCATTACAAGTATTGGAATAATACGTACGCGTTGTTCCTTTCCGTAAGTTAATTCATCTTTACATGCAGCACTATCTTGATATTTTGGTGTCAAGAAACAGCATATAGCTGCTGCATTTTCCACTCCATCTGCCATACTTAAACAAAAGAAAAGGATAAATCATACAAATACTTATTATACTAATTAATATTAGTGAAAACAAAGTGTACCTTTCACTTAAATGACCTTTCATTCCACCTTGCGTATCCATCCATAACGGAATGTTTATTTCCTTAAGACGACGATAAACCTCTGTTACAAGTTTTTGATGATCCCATTGATAGGATAACATAATATGTTTTTGAGATGACATTTATGTTGTTCTAAAGAGGAAACGATTAATTTGAGATAGTCAAATATATATAAGTTTCCAATGTATTTGTATTTGTTAGAAAGATCTATTTAAGTTTCAATGCATCAGTTGAAATTAGTGTCCTGCAATCCAGTCGGTATCCAGCATTCGACTCGATCCCCGAACATGGGTTCGAGTGTCGATATAAGAAAAAGTGTCAGCCCGGATCTGATGAAAAGTTACACCCGTGCAGAACACTAATTGAAATAGGTTGATGTATTTGAAAAACAATTCACTTCTAGGTTCAAACCGTATTTTGTCGGTTAAGGCTGTTTCATTAGTAAAAACCTCAATAGTACAAATTAATTGAGGACCTGATCACGAAACTTTATTATTGTGTCTAACTCAGTTTTTTTGAATAACACACAATCAAGTAGACAAAAACAACCAATACAACACTACTCTTATACTTAATTAATAAATATAGATATTTCAATAAGAATTATATTGTTTTCGAAATATGTGTAAGCAACCGAAAAAGGTGTGAATGTGGGTCAATCTAAGACTGACATTCACACCCACACTCTCACTCCGTATGAATTAAAAAGAAACAGTAATAAAACATCTGATCATCATTGTAAATTGTTAGATAGATGAAC